GAATAAACACAACAGGCCTTCCATTTTGTATAACACTGCTTTTATTGTGTTGCAGTTGGTTATGTTCTGGTGACGTTGAACTTGGGAGTGCAGGCTGCTGCCTGAGAGGTGGTTGGAGACGGAGTGTCTCCATGCTGCTTTGTTTTGGTCACTTATGTGCGTGAGGCGAGTGGTGTTATGACTCCCTGGGGAGTTTGGCTCGTGTGCAAAAAGGAAGGGACAATAACGGGATTTAAAAGTTAAAATGATGATCAGGTTTATTTACAACAACAAAAAAACATAAATCTTTCCATCCACAGGTTGGGAATAATAAAACTAATTCTGCCTGTGGGGAATTAAAACAAAAGTACAAATAAGTAGGGATGTCCCACTGGGAAAAGATTACAGGGTTCTGGACCAAAATAAGAATCTCCAAAGGTCCAAACTCTAAACTGGGTGGTTAAACCAAACTCAAGGTGATATTTTTAACTAAACTGAAAACCCACAACACTCTAAATGTTATAAAAGGGAGATCTGCACCACAAAAAGATGAATTCTAAACCAAAACGTAACAGCTTATCCAAACGCAAGAAGCTGTTAGCGAAAATGCTAACAGCAGCTTTACCAACGTTAAGTTCAAGTTACCAAGTTTAAATAAACCAAAAACACCAGCAGCAAACAGACCAGCATGGAGGAGAGACTGCTACCACCAAAACAGCTCTCCTAATGTCTGAAAGAAGCTCCTTTATGAAGGGAGAAACGCTCCCGGTGATTTTCTACATCTGCGATAGAGACGGAGCAGTGCATCTGATCCCGGAAGTTGTTGTCCGTTGCCGGGAGACAAAGGCGGGCAAAACAGGAAAGGAATCTAGTAGCGGACGGACGTTGTTCCGGGTCTTCGGTATTTGGCGGAGAAGTTAGTGAAGGCGGAGAAGAGGGCGAACTAGAGGAGAAACAGGCAGATTCCTCCTCTATTTACAAACTCCTGGGGATGCAAGAAGTGGGCGCGGTGCATTGACTACCGGATCTGACGTCGACAAATTTTTAGAATTGAGCCGTCGACGTCATCGAGGCTTCGCTACAGCCCTAGCTTTGGGTAATGACCGAAAGAACGAGATTGCGGATACAAGCGGCTGAAATGAGTTTCCTCCGTAGGGTGGCCGGGCTGAGCCTTAGAGATAGGGTGAGGAGCTCGGACATTCGGGAGGGACTCGGAGTAGAACCGCTGCTCCTCCGGATCGAAAGGAGTCCGTTGAGGTGGTTTGGGCATCTGGTCAGGATGCCTCCTGGACGCCTCCCTGGGGAAGTGTTTCTGGCATGTCCTGCCGGCAGGAGGCCCCCGGGTCGACCCAGGACACGTTGGAGAGGTTACATCTCCAATCTGGTCCCTTGGGGTCCTGCCGGAGGAGCTGGTGGAGAAGGCCGGGGAGAGGACGGTCTGGAGCTCCCTAGTTGGGATGCTGCCCCCGCGACCCAGACCCGGATAAGCGGAGGAGGAGGACGACGACGACAACGACCTTGGCGGAAATACTACGCTGATGACATCACAGTGTGTCTAGAGGCTTATGGTGAGCTTGAAGACATGATTCAGACCTTTGAATTATAGCTTGCTCGAACGGCTTTGTCAATAACACATACTGCACCTTTAAAGAACCAGCCGAGGAACATAGCACTGGCTCTGGTGAGACCTGTACTCCTGTGGGGTAGACCAGCAGCTGGAACAGGAAACAGGAACAGAAGAGTCTGAGTTTTACTGGGAACCTTATGGTAGAGAACTGGGACCGTGTGCTAACGGGATTAGACTCAAATGCTGCAGGAGCTGAGCAGGGTCAGAGTTAGAACCAAAACCAGGCCCAATGTTAAGGTTTTTCTCGAAGAAGGACTGAAACCACCTCGGCCTCTACCCAAAAATACTAAAAAAATAAATAAAATCTTTATAAAGATTATGCTATTTCTTTTTGCGTTGCTTACTCAGAGTCCCCATGGGGATCCTGAGCTCCTGGCCCAGAACAGCTTTATGGGGCCAAACAGCCTGATACGAGAACAGTGACACCACATTCAGAGGCAACAGGAAGTGCTCAGTGTTACACCCACATGTAGCTGTGGTGTGTTGAAGCGCCGGTACACCAGAACAAGGAACCAAACCCAGAGCAGGTCGAACTCGTCATCTGATGTCACATCAGAATGACAAAAATTAGCAACTAAAATTAGATAAACTCATAAAAACACAAAACACATGAATGACTAATGAAAATACTAAATGAAAAGTTTGACACACACACCACACACACATACCTTTAGGGAAAACTTTAAGACTTCTTTAGATTTAAACGGATTAAAGTTTAATGAAACAGGATAAAACAGGATGAAATGGTGGCAGAGAAGTATAATGCTTGCCTTGTAACCGGAAGGTTGCTGGTTTGAGCCCCGCTTCTAACCCCTCCTTTCCACCGACGGAGCCGTCAGCAGCACGTTACTGCAGCAGCACGTCATAGCTGCTGATGGGAACCGCTGTGGTCAACAGAACCTTTTCCACCGGAGCTGTCAGCAGCCGTCAGCAGCGAGAGTCGGCCGCGTCTCAGGAGCAGCATGTCGCGGCCCTTACGCGCCGGTTCTATTTTCTATGCGCTACGCCTCTGAAACGGGTCAAGTTCGATATTTTTGGGGAAGGAAAGACGGGAAATCGGACGCAGAAACGGAGCGAAGCTTCCCGAGATTTTCAGAATAAAGAAATGTACTGCCTTCCAGTTGCTTTACTTTAAAAAAAAAGTTATCACCTAGCTAGCAGTCTCCTTTGTTTTTTCATAATGGACGACGAAAGGTTGATTACTGAAGTGATTACTCCTGCTTGTTGTAACGTTTACTGACGAAGTCACGCGTGATTTTGCTAATGTTGCGTGACTTCGTGCTCAGTCGGTGACAGCTGCTGCTTCGCATCTCATGGGAAGAGCCAAGCAGCATACGCGAGCAAGGCGTGCTGCTGCAGTAACTTGCTGCTGACGGCTACGGTGGAAAGGAGGGGTTAGTCTATCACTGTCGTTGTGTCCTGGGGCAAGACACTTAACCCACAATGTATGCTGGTGGTAGTCTGAGGGACAGGTGGCACCTGTATGGCAGCCTCGCCAGTGTGCCCGAGGGCAGCTATAACTTGATTCTGTGGTAAAAAACCTTGGGGGGGGGGGGGGGGGGGGGGGGGGTTCTAGGAATCTGGAAGGCGTCATATCAAATACAGGCTGTTTTACTTGGGAATAATAGATTTACAGGTAATGATGTAAACATAATCCCAGAACCCTACGGGAGGAAGATCTGTGTGAAATAACAGCCCTGTGTCAAATAATATGAGATGAAATCTTAACCTTAAAGAGCAAGTCACCCCAAATCAACTTTTTTTCCTGATAAACTATATAAATGCATGTCTAATCGTGCTGCAGACACATGTAGTCAATAGTTTTGCACTTTAGTGCATTTTAGTTAAAATTAAAAATTTCTGTTTAAAACTGTGTTGGGCCGTTGTCAGGTAAAAAACTCTGCACTGCATTTGAATTTAAATCTGCCATCGCAATTGGCTAAGAGGTACCCTAGAACGTTAGCTGGTACCATATGATGTCACAATGTCGTTGTGAGCCTGTGTGTGTGTATTTGTTAGCGGCTCTGCCCTCTCGGCCTGCTAGGCAACAGCATTTGTTGCATTTTCAAACAGGAAGGGGGAGTGGAGTAATACTCTGGTAGGGGGTGACTTGCTCCCAAATCTAATCTAATAATTTTAATTTTAGAACCTGCTTTCAAAGATGTTCTTCTCTGTTTAACTGAGTAACAAACCAAATATTTTCAAAAACATTCCAGTTTTTTATAAACAGAAATAGAACAAAGGAAGTGACACGACCCTCTCTATGTGCACAAACTTGATTTTGTACTAAACTATCGCTCCCATTTGACAGAAGGTTCAGATCCATTTGGACCTGAACCTCTCGCCACAAAAACTGTTTTTTACACTCTGCAGTCGGACTCATGACCCTGTGTTGTGTTTGCACCTGATCTGACCCATTCTGACCAGTACCTACACCGACTTGTATAAAGTAGCTGCTTCTCTAATTATCGATTCCCTATATTATTATCATTTCATTGTTTATTTCTTAATTCTAATTTAGCTTATCTTTTTTTTTTGTTGCACCAAGTACCGCAGCAGTTTCCTAACGTTGTGATTCTCACACATATGGTAATAAAACCTTCTGATTCTAAACTGATGTTTATTTTTTAATTGAATTGATGTGCAGATCGTTTGCCGGGAGGAATCATGAGCTCATCCCATCAGCTGTTTGTTCCCAGTTTTCATGCTATGATCAGACCCTGATAGTCAGAGTGCCCAATAATCTGGTCCCTACTTCAAAAGTTCAGAACGCTCTCTGGGAAAGCTATGATTTTTACCATGTAAAGCTTAGGTCCAACTCAGAGTATTTTATCAACCAGGTTGTTTTACCTGGTAACTGGGAGTACAATCACTCACTGACCTTTACCAAAAAGCAGACTGGTGAGCTCCGTTAATGAACGTAAATAAAACAAGTCAACAGGAGAGCAAAAGCCCACATCCTAAAAACGAACTCACGTTTATTTATCAGCACCAGAAAAACAATCTACCCATCGGCACTCTCCACACGAAAACTCATTTTAGTAGATCAGTTATGGTTTCCGTATTTGGATGATGGGAACTACTCAGTCAGGATTTATTATCACCAACACGTTACGCCTCTGTGTTTAAAAAAATGACCCAAAGTGGTCAAATTTACTCATAAACTGTGACATGACAACTTTGTGTTTTACAAGAACAATCCACCTTAAGAACACACCAGGTCCACCTTAAGCATGGTGAGCTAGCAGCTAGTTAGCTATATTGCCGGGAGAATTATCAGCAGTTGTTAAGCTAACCATTACCATTTACTGTTGGTCTTTAGTTCCACCGTTATTCGGTAGTTTGAAACGCCCACAGTGACTTCTACCCACAGCGGCAACCAGACAGCACTCACCGAGCTCCGGACCAACATAACGTCGTTGGCCTCGGTCTCTACTTTCTTCCGGTGCGCCTCACATCCTGTCGTAACGATTTTCAGCGCCAGCCCTTGGCACTGGACATCCTCCTGAGGTTTCTCCGTCTTTTCCAGGGTGTCCCGCGGAGTGGTAGAAGTTCCCTCTCCGCTGCGCTGTCATACAGTTGACGGCGAACACCGCGAAGAGGAGACGGTCAGCTTTCGTTTTACCAAAATTCCTCCGCTCTGATTCTAACTTTACTGTAAGTCTGTTTGTTTTCTAACGGAGTACACCGGACGAGCCGCGCTGCGTCCTCGTTGATACACGTTAAATTGGCGGGCAGACCCCGCTCTACGGGGCTGCTTCGATTAACAAAACTAACGCCTTTCAATCCACCAATAAAATCTGTTTCTATATGAGCTCCGCCTACATCCACTTTAACACCCGACAAGATCTGATTTGGGATCAGCCAGTAAGTATGAGCTCATTCGGACTTTTAATTTGGGTGGAGAAATTACGCCGCCACCTGGACCGCTGCCTTCTCTACACTGCAGTTGCCACCTCTGGACTTAACGTCTGGTACTAAAAGGTGTCAGCAGGACTTTAAAGAAAATTGAGCATACGGTGTACGCCTGAGCTGAAGCTCCGCCAAAGAAAAAACAATAACAGGTCAGTATTTAGCAGGAAAATCTGCCGAGTGACTTTACCAAGGATCACTATTTTGCAAAAGCCAGAAAGGCGGGACTCGACGGTTGAAGAATTTTGGTAAAATTCTGCGCACATGCACGTGTAAAGGCACCGGACTCAATGAACGTTACTTCCTCTTCAGGCTTTTCAAAGCAAAAGCCTTTTCCGTAGTTGACTAATTTCTTTTAAGATCCGCAAATGTTAACTTTAAAACAGGTGGTAATTCATGTTTAAATAAAGCACCGGATTCTAAAGTCATTACAGTCAGAATTGGCTCCATTCAACTGTAAAGAAACAGATGTGGTAATACAGACACACGTTTTAATAATCAATACATCATCACAAGGCTCTGATTCTACTCCCTACACAAAAGATGCATTTAAATGTCTAAGATAAATATAAATGTCTAAATTTGTTATTTGAATGTAACTGAATCTACAAATATTTTCATTTAATTTACTTAGATTATTACCAATAATTGCATATTACAGTTGTAACATAATTATGGTTTTCATTTATCACATAAAAATTCAATTCAAAACCACTTTAATAATCCCAGAGGAAAATTGATTGCTGTAGTAGATCAGAATAATAACAATAATCAAGTCATCAAAGAGTTGTTGTATATTACAATGGCTGTTGGCAGGAAGGATCTCCAGCAGCGGTCAGTGTTGCAGCCAAACTGAAGAAGCCTCTGACTGAAGACACTCTTCCGTTGTCGGACAGTCTTGTGAAGAGAATGCTCAGGGTTGTCCATCATTTTCTTGATTCTCTGGAGAATCCTTCTTTGCATTATCTCCTCCAGCGGTTCCGAAACTGACGAAACTCTGGCTGAGTCCTTGAAAGGGCTTGGAGTTCCTTCATCTTGTTGGCCAGTGACCTCACATTGCCCATTATGATCGATGGAAGAGATGGTTAGACTCTTTAAAGAGCAAGTCAACCCCTACCATATTCTTACTCAACTCACTCTTCCTGTTTGAAAAATGCAACAAATGTTGTTGCCTAGCAGAACAAGAGGGTGGAGCTGCTAACGAATACACACACTCACGACATTGTGACATCATAATCTACCATCTAACATCATAGTGTACTTCTTATCCAATAGCGATGGGAGATTTAAATTCAAATGCAGTGCTGAGTTTTTACCTGACGATGGTACATCACTGACAGTTTTAAGCAGAATATTTAAATTTTAACTAAAATGCACTAAAGTGCCGAAATATTGACTACATTTCCTGCTCGACTTATCGGCTGCATTTGACACCGTCAACCATGGCTTCCTTTTGTCCACACTCTAGCATGGGCATCACAGAGAAAGCACATGCCTGGTTTGAATCGTACCTCACAGGACGATCATTCAGTGTATCTTGGCTTGGACAATCCTCTACCATGCACCATCTTGCCACAGGAGTCCCCCAGGGCTCTGTACTAGGACCTCTTCTCTTTGCCATATACACCGCCTCACTGGGTGAGATCATTCGATCACATGGCTTCTCCTACCACTGCTATGCAGACACCCAGCTCTATCTGTCATTTCCACCGGACGACCACACTGTCTCTGCACGAATATCAAAGTGCCTCTCTGACATATCAAAATGGATGAAATCCCACCATCTCCAACTCAACCTCTCTAAAACTGAACTACTTGTCATCCCAGCAAAGCCATCCGTACAGCACAATATCTCAATCCAGAATGACTTCCTATCTCTGGCTCCTTCAAAGGCAGTTTGAAATCTGGGTGTTGTGATTGATGGAACACCTGACCTTTAAAGATCACGTTGCCTCTGTTGCTCGTTCATGCCGCTTTGCGCTGTATAACATACGAAAGATCAGACCATACCTAACACAACATGCCACCCAGCTCCTGGTGCAATCTACTGTCATCTCCCGCCTCCATTACTGCAACGCCCTTTTAACTGGTCTTCCAGGCTGTACTGTGAGACCTCTTCAAATAGTCCAGAACGCAGCGGCGCGTCTGGTCTTCAATCAGCCAAAAAGAGCACACGCCACCCCTCTGTTCATTGAGCTCCACTGGCTACCGCTAGCAGCATGCATCAAATTTAAATTGCTAACAGTAGCATACAAAGTCCGAGATGGTACGGCTCCCATCTACCTGAATCCTCTTGCAAAGGCTTACGTCTCGGCCCGGCCGCTCCGGTCATCACAGGATCGTCGGCTAGCAGTGCCTACACCACGCTCAGGACAATCCAGACTCTTCTCATGCATCGTTCCACAAATGTGGAATGACCTTCCAAGCACTACCAGAACAGGAGCTTCCTTTTCAATTTTCAAGAAACTCCTGAAGACCCTGCTCTTCAGAGAGCATCTTCTTAACTAGCCCCCTCCTTGCACCCGTCCCCCCTCTCCACTGTCCACTCCTTGTTCCCTACTCTCCATGACTGATGTCAAGTTGTTGTTGTTATTGTTGTTGTTAGCCTCAAGGGCAATATGTCAATTATCACTTGTAAGTCGCTTTGGACAAAAGCGTCTGCTAAATACATAAACATAAACATTTGTCTACAGCACAATCAGACACTCATTTATATAGTTTATCAGCAAAAAAATTGTGATTTGGAGTGACTTGCTCTTTAACATGTTTAACATGAGGTTTCTGAACCATAAAAGAGGGATTTACATTTCAATGGTGGAAACAAAACCCATTGTACACTGCTGCCAACTAGTGGTCGGCATTTGAATTGCACCAAAAGAAAATGTTTGCATGTAAATTCTTTTAAAAATTAAGAGACACGACTTTTGAATATGGATATAATATTGCAGGGGGAAAAATCATGATATATTACTATATTGATATTTTTTATACACAGCTTTTGAATATTGACATATCGCTGGAAAAAAATCACAATATATTGCCGTTTAAACCTTTTCTTACATCCCTAATATATGAAGAACGTTAACCAGGTAGTTAATGTAGATTTTTGACCAGATACTTCATATTTCCTCCACAGGTTTTCAGATTTTCTAAAAACTCTCCACACACTACATGCCAAGATACACACATTTTAGTAGTACTAAAAATCTCTTAAAAGGACCAAAAAATATTGTCATCTGTTATTTTTGCCACTCTTCATAGGTTCAACCAAATAATGATGAATAAATTACATCTCTATGACAGAGTGCAGGTTATGTGTTGTCAGATCTGGTTCATCCCGTGAGTTGGGAGCTTTTTTCTGCTTGAATAACTCAAGCAACTCAAATAAATTTTAAAATGAGCGATTATTGGAGACTTGTTTTAGAATAACTGTTGGACCACAAAAATATAGAAGGTTGTTTTGTCTTTTGCCAGGGACTCTATGTCCCATAATACACCTGTTCACCGCTGATGCAGTCTTTTATTTGACGCTGGTGGCTTTTATTTTGAAGTGCGTTCTCACTTTCCCGCCCTCCTCCATCTTGGCACAGCTAGCTTGACGCAGCGAACAACCGAACGGAGACAGAGCGGATCAATTTGGCGCTTCGGCTGCTGATCGAGATTATGCGGCGCTGTTGACTGCTGTATCGGTGAGTGACGGTGGCTTGTTGCTCTTCACACCGGAGCCGGTAGCGAGCCGTTTATCCGTGCTCACGGTTTCCCGCACAGCAGCGCGCTGTGTTTTCTTCCCCAGCAGACCTCCCCATTCTCTTTGTTCACTTGCACCTTTTTCTTGCGCCTCTGCGGGTTTTGTAAATACTGGCGCAACATGGCTGCCGCGTTGCGAAAGAGAAGCAATTAGCTGTGCGCTAATTTCGTGCATATTTAGCGCGTGACTGGCGGTTCCGTTCCGGGGTGGGTGCTTGTTTGGGAGACTTATTTTCTGTGACCTCTAGCTGCACATCATTTATCACCAGCAGCCAAAATAAGCAGCAACTCCTCACAGAAGGAACTCTCCGCCGCCAGGTGTCGCTGTTCAGCTCTGGTATCAGCAGGGCCGGCTCCCAAATTCGCTGGGTCCGGGGGGGGGGGGGGGGGGGGGGGGCATTTGTCTCTTTTATTTATTTATTTTTTACATGTGTTTGTGTAACAAAAAATGCAAGATTTGTGAAATATGTCCCCTTTAAATAAAAGCATGCGATTCTTGCCCCGACAAAATATTATTAATTGCAAAAAGCCATAAAAGGGTGAAACACTTATTATTTAGCTAAAAATTTTAATTTAAAAAAGTTGCAGATTGTGCAAATATTTGTACATTTTATCTGTAAGTTAATTTACTAGCTAATCTTGCATTTGAGTAGCTGCAACATGATTTTTTTTTTTACTTGGATAGATCTAGCTATTGTCAATTTCTTATAATGAGTAGATTTAAATTTGGTAAATGCGTTGTATTTGTATAGCGCCTTCCTAGGGTTCTGTAGTGATCGGTTGAGCAACACTAGCTCATAGATCAAGACCTCGTGTCAGTGCAAGTATCATTTAGGAAGTTGTCACGTGACCGATACAGCTGCTGTTTTACTTGTCAGTAAAGATCTGAACCTTGTTTAAAGAGCAAGTCACCCCCAACCAGAGTCATTCACCCATTCACACGCGCTGGTGGGCAGGGCTGTGCAGAGACCTTTGAAGGGGCGGGTGCTCAAATTTAAAAAGGGGCACACAGAATAATATTTTCAAACACCATGACATAACCACAGTATACCCGTCTGAATAACAAATCATATTTATTAGAAATTCAAAATGGAAGCGAATCATTATATACACCCGTACCACATAAGGACAATGTAAAGCAAAAGTAACTTGTTTTGGTAAATGGTCTGTATTTGTATAACGCCTTCTTAGGGTTCTACAACCCCCCAAGGCACATTACAACACAGTCAGTCATTCACACACACACACACACACACACACACACACACACACACACACACACACACACACACACACATTAACACACTGATGGTGATGTAGCCATAGCTGCTCTGGAGCGCACTGACAGAGGTGAAGCTGCTGAGCACAGGCGCCTCCAGTCCCTCCGACCACCACCAGCAGGCAAAGCAGGTTAAGTGTCTTGCCCAAGGACACAACAGCATCAATCTCTGATTAAAGTCAGGATCAAACCTGCAACCTTCCGATTCCTGCACAACCTGCTCCACCTCCTGATCTATTGCTGTCCTATTTTACCTGATGATGGGGTACAATGTAGCTGTTGCAGGGTCGCTCCTCTTGCTGCTGATGATGATGCTGGAGGGCAAGGCTGTGTTGATCTCAGACTGTAGGTAGTAAACCGAACAGAGGAGAAATGTGGCAAAATAAGAACATGATTTCAAAGAGAAATTGTAGAAATAATTGCAATAATTTTTGTTAGAAGCCAAGATCCGAAACCGCTCCAAATCAGGTCTCAGAGGGTTCTGGTTCTGTGGTCCTGTTGGATCTGGCCCAGATGGGTCATTACAATCTCACAAGACGTTTATCTGGTGATCCCGACCTTGTGGAGTTATGGTCCATTCCCATCTGTACCGGGTCGGCCCGGGCCGGGTAGCCCTAGTCGGCCCCAGCCTGGCCCGGTTGATTCCACACATCCTTGTCTTAAGCCCATGTGGGCTGATTCTACCCACCAATCAGAGGCTTGCTCTAATGGAAGGTGTGAATTTGCTGTCAGCAGTGGGCGTGTTGGCCCTGGTCGGCCTGAAGCAGACCCCCTCGAGAAGAGGGCTGAGAATGAGCCTTGGTTGGTCCGGAAAAATACCAGGCCACCCAGATATGTAAACAACCTACGCTACCCGGCCCGGGCCGACCCGGTACAGATGGGAATGACCCAATAGTGTCTTTAGAGGTTCTCCTGGTTCCTTTCAGCTGATTTAGTCATTGTTTCTGTTTGGGTCAAACTGATCTTATTTTTTAAAAGGAGTTTCTGAACCGTCTGGAGGCTGGCAGGTTAAAACCTACCTACCTGGTTACTCCACATACGTATTTCATGAGCATTTTAACTCGGAAGCACCCTGAAGGACTCAGTTGTCCTTTTATCAAAACTTATTTTGAGCCTGAGAGGGTTAAAACCAGAAGAAGTGCGGTTCGGTTTTCTAACATTTGGACCAGAGAGCCGATGGTTTACCTGAGTGAAACCAGCTCAGGTGTTAAATTGGCTCTGCTGCGTGTGTCTGATCCAGCAGCAGCAGCTCTCGGGTTTCTCTTGTGGTTTGTGTCACGCGGCTGCAAAGCATCAGCACTGTAACTCGTCCTGACACCGTCTTCCTGCCGCGCGTCACCCGCAGCCAACCGTCGCCCAGCCAGCCGATGGGTCCTTACTCGTCCCGCCTGGTTTTTCTACCTGCCGTGGCTGTTTTTGATCTTCTCAGGTTGATTGGTCTTAATGTAGAGAAACATTAGCTTATTTAAAATAACCAACAGCTCATCGTAAACTGCTAAAATTCAGCCATGTTGGATGTTAAAGTTTTGGAATGTGTTTATGTTGCCCCGTGAAGGCATCATCTCTGAGGACCAATAAGAGATCAGCATTACTCATGGCCCCTGGCCTGAACGCACAAACGCTAATTGCTATTTCACGCTAGCATTACCAGATCTTCCATGTGGATGTTTTCTCTGGGTAATCGGGATCTGGTAGGGCAGCAGCAGCAGCTTAGGAGGTAGAGCAGGTTATCCAGCAAGTGGTGGGTTGCTGGATCGATCCCAGTTGTGTCGTTGGGCAAGACACCTCACCCTCCATGCCTGCTGCTGGTGGTAGGAGGGACAGGCGGCTCTGCGACCTCGGCTCTGTCAGTGTGTCCCAGGGAAGCTGTGGCTACAGTGTAGCTCATCACAATCAGTCTGTGAATGGATGAATGAGTCACAGTCGTGTAAAGTGCTTTGGAGTCATCTGACTCTAGTGCTGCTCACCTATCTTAACTTTTGCAAACATGTTCCTCTGAGCGGACCTGGCAGGTCCGAGTCGGTCGGTTTTGTGAACTAAAGTGAGGCATTTGAGGGTTTTAATGCCGCCTCTGATGTTTCCTCAGAACCGACGCATCGTTTCCTGTCCGACTTCAGCAGTGGACGCTGCCTCCATTGTCTAGAGTCAGACTGCACGTGGTCTGGATGCTCTAATCCAGGACTGGGGTTAGTTCCTGCTTCTCCTTTTCCCTCCCCTCCCCCCTCCCGCTCCCCTCTCTCAACCTTCACAACTGGAGTCCAGACCGGGACCAGAGTCCTTATTGGTGATCCCCCTTCAGGTGGATGAATGAAGACTCCATTCAAGAGTCCGGCGTCCCCGCGGCCCAGAGCGGACGGGGGTGAGTCCAGAGTTTTGTCGGATGTTGGTTCTGATCTGAGATGGACCCGACCACACATCAAACGAGTGTCTTGTCAGCACCAACTTCAGGAGGCGGCTCTTGAACGCAGCACCAGCTGCTGGAGGTGCTGAATGTTTGTGTTTTGTGTTTCAGGACATTCTGGTGTTTCTGCAAACATGATGAAGAAGAGGAACCCGCACAAGTAAGTCTTCACACCACCACGTCCTCCTGGTTCTGGTCTGCTCCTCCAGGTATCAGAACCGTTTTTAGGCAGCATTAGCTCTGGAGGTAGAGCGGGTTGTCCATTAATCAGAGGGTTGACACTAACTAACCCATCTTGCCTGCTGGTGGTGGTCGGAGCGGAGGGACCGGCGGCGCCGCCTCATCAGCGTACCCCAGGGCAGCTGCCTGCGACTGCAATCATCACCAGTGTGTGTGTGTGTGTGTGTGTGTGTGTGTGTGTGTGTGTGTGTGTGTGTGTGTGTGTGTGTGTGTGAATGACTGATTGTGTTGTGAAGCGCCTTAGGGGGTTGTAGAACCCTAAAAGGCGCTACACAAATACAGACCGTTTACCGTTAGGGCCGGTGTCGGTACAAGATCTGCTCGGCGTCCTTCGACAGCCGATGACGTCTAAGTAGTTGATTGGCTGAACATGAACCTTACGGAAGTTACGTAATCACGTTACGTTGGTCCAGGCAAATCTTTTTGTTGGAAAGATGGACAACTTTTACAAAGAAATCCATCATTACCTCTTTGAAAATACACTTTTAGCATAGAGCTGCATGTATGTTAGGGCTGAACGATTAACTGCATGTGCAATTAAATTGCGATGTGACAAAAGGAGATTTTCTAATCGCAACGGCTGCAATTTGGCAGCGAGTGGTTAGCGCAATGCTAATATACATGGAAAAACCCATAGGAATGCTAATGCTAATATCACTGATTACATTCTTACAAATTAGGAATTAGAAACGTCCCAAATGATTACATTTGGAGTCTAATAGAAAGTAAAACTACCATCAGTCAAATAAGTACAGACAGGTATTTTAGTAAAGCCAGAAAACTTTTAACTCCAGAGTTTTGGCTAGCAGCTATGAGCGTAACTGAACTACGCATGGACAAGACGTCAAAAACTCTAAACACAAAATACTTCAATAAACGGGACACACTTCTTTCCTGCAAATTCTATTTCACAGGTGTTGCTAATACCTATGATCCTTCAAGGGATGTGCTCAAAGAGGAGTTCAACATCATGAATACAATATAGTGTTTTATTTTACAAATACCATTATAAACACAAACTTACGTCGTAAGAAACATTATTTTAATAACGAAACTGCTAAATTCTTTCCAACAGTATAGATGTGTAGTGTATTTTGTCCGAGTGGGGTTGCCGTACTTTGGCGTCATCGGCAGTCGAAGGACCCCGAGCCGATCTGGCACCCGAGCAGATCCTGTACCGACACCGGGTTCTAGCAGACACGAACATCTCTAACCCTTTAAAGAGATTTGCAGTATTGTGCGGCTCGGTTGTCCGACTTAGAATCTGCAGGGGGAGGGGCCTCTTTTCGTTTGTCACCCTTGTCTCATTTTCACGTCTGCTTGAAACTTCGAATCAGATCTCGTAACTAAAGGGATGAGCCACACAACCGGTTTAAACTGGATCGTTTGTCTCTAGCTGATCCTGCTCTCACTCCCGTCGGCTCTCTGAACCGACTCGTTCATTTGTCCTCCGTCTCTTTTCTCCTTCAGGAAGCAGAGGACCAGTGTTGGACCCAGTAAGTCTCTGACCCCGCCCAGAAGGAACATCGTTGGCTGCAGGATCCAGCACATCTGGAAGGAGGGCAGTAAGTTACCCTTGAACAGCTCAGAAGGAAAATCCTCCGCAGGAAGAATTCTCTGTTTTCCCGGTTTAGGGAGTAAAGGCCCAGTAGCAGCAGAACGTTGGTTCTGTTGGAATCATGGTTGTAACTGAAGGTCCTGGTGACTTTTAAGTGAGTAACTTACAAAATGACATCATCGGGTGTTTATTCCCTCAGCTGCATCCTCAGGCTAACGTCCTTCAAAATAAGAGTCTGAAACTAATGAACCTGGACTTCCTTCAGAGATGGAGTTTTTGGTGTTATGTCATAAATGTAGAGAAATAAAATCAAAGTTTGGAAGAAAAACATTTATGAGATTTAATAAGGATTTATCAGATGAATAAATCCAGATTAGGGTTGTGACGGTGTGAAAATTTAACCTCACGGTGATTGTGACCAAAACTATCACGGTTTTCGGTATTATCGCTGTATTTTTTAAACGCGTTACATTTTCAGACAACTACATAAACCCTGTATATCAGGAAAATATTGTCCTCAGTTTGTGTCTAAATTTAGCCTAAAATGTGTTATTGTGTAATTATGTTGTTTATTTGTTTACATGTTTCCCCTTTAGTCTTTAAAATACCAATATTTGCCCATAAATTCTTATTTTTTGTCTGTTTGATGTCTTCATTTTAAAAATATTAGATCAGATGATACTCAGTACTCGAGTAGCCTTCTAATCAGATACTTTTTTACCCTTACTTGAGTAATAAACCCTATATCAGGAAAGTATTGTCCTCGGTTTGTGTCCTTCCAGTGAGCTTTACAGATGTGGGAAAATGTCATCAGGCAGTAATCGTTGTTAAATTCATAATTATTCTCGGAGAGAGACCAACTCTTATCTGCCCCTGGGAGCCCCGTAATGCATAGCGTCATTTCAGCATGGCGGTGTCCGCGACACGGTTTATATGCAGGTAGCGGCGCTGCGGCTGCTTTATATAGCGACTCGTTGCGTTCTCCCTCAACCCAAATCCTCGGATCACGCATTTTAGCTAAAGCGCTAACGTTAGCTTGCCTTGCGTTGACTGTAGAGTTGTGGGTGATGGTCACGCAGATGTGTCATGAGATTTGAAGCGTTGCTGCCTTTCACAGACACTTTTTCTGCACGTGCTGCAAACAGGATAGCCGTCTTCTATCAGCTGTCCCTCGGCGTTCTTCAGATATCCAAAATATGCCCGTACTTCCCACTTTGTCTTCTTTGAGGGATAATAAATGTCCTGAGCGCTGCCGTCTCCTCCTTTGGCCATTATTTCAGCTTTAGCTTCAAGAACGTTTTGGTTGTAAACAACAAAGTGCGCATGTGCCACCGGCAACTTCAGCAGATGATACGGTGGCTGGTAAGGGTCACCGCGCCTACACCGCAGCCACGCTAATCCACCGAGATAATATATGTTTTAAAAACAAGACGGTTATTATTATTTTCCACTTTTTTTACCGGGGTTTACCGCTACACCGGTTACCGTGACAACCCTAATCCAGATTAAATATCTGTTCTGTAAACTCGGGTTCAGATTTTCTGAGCCGGTACCTGTCTGCTGGGTCCTCTCAGGTGTTTTACCTGCTTGTGTTTCCTCTCAGGTAAGTCCTCCCAGTGGAAGGGGACGGTTCTGGACCAGGTACCGGTGAACCCGTCTCTCTACCTGATCAAATACGACGGTTTTGACTGTATTTACGGTCTGGAGCTGTTCAGCGACGAGCGAGTGATCGGCCTGGAGGTTCTGGCCGACCGAGTGGGTGAGGAGCTTCAACACGTTTCTGTTAAAGTTTCATTTCACTCAGAATTGTCAGACGGCGCCAGATCCGTCTGTTATTTATTAGAACGAGTTTTATTTGTTATCAAATGGGATTAAACCTCAGATCTGTCCTGGATTATGAAACAGGATTATGGTTAAACAGCAGCTTTTAGTTTTCCTGTGCAGTCAAAGTCCAGAACATGAGATCATTCTGACCCAAACTCTGTGACCGCTCCAGCGCCGGCCCGTGTCACCGACTCGATGCTGGCGGAGACGATGATTGGGAAGGCGGTGGAGCACATGTTTGAGACGGAGGACGGGCCGAAGGAGGAGTGGAGAGGCATGGTTCTGGCCCGAGCCCCCATCATGACGACCTGGTTCTACATCACCTACGAGAAAGACCCGGTTCTGTACATGTACCAGCTGCTGGACGACTACAAGGAGGGAGACCTGAGGATCATGCCCGAGTCCAGTGAGTGTCAGTTTTCATCGTGTTCATGTGGAGAGGTTCTGGTTCTGATGATCCAGATGTGACCTGCAGTCGTATTTTGTTCTGGTTCCTTCTGAGCTGACGTGGTGTTGGGTCGGCCCGTGGTTCTGGTCTAATCGGAGTGTTCGTTGACAGATGACGGCGTGCCAGCCGAGCGGGAACCTGGCGAGGTGGTGGACAGTCTGGTGGGGAAGCAGGTGGAGTACGCCAAAGAGGACGGCGGGAAGCGGTCAGGAATGGTGATCCACCAGGTGGAGGCCAAGCCCTCCGTCTACTTCATCAAGTTCGACGACGACTTCCACATCTACGTCTACGACCTGGTCAAGACCTCCTAGGACCACAGAGACTCGCTGAGACCCGACCAGGGTCGGGACAGAGCAGCTGTTTAGTGACACGCCTTAAACCCGGAGAGGACCTTCGGACCATCAGAACCCGCAAACCGGACCTTCCCGGTTCTGGTGGCACAAACGTTTAGAAAGCTCCATCCCGAAACCCTTCAGCCGGATCACGGAGTACGGATAGGGCCCGGTTCTGTTGGGTTAATGACGGTTCCAGATGCAGAACCCGGTCTAATCGAACCGACGCCTTTCATTGATGATCTGCTTTAGCTGCTTGTTGGAATCTACACTCACCCTGGTTCTGACCTGGTCCTGGTCCTGGTTCTGACCCGGTCCTGGGGGTTTGCTCCTTGTTTGTGTTTGTGCCAAAAACATCTTCAGCTTGTTTAAATCGTCTCGTTTCAGCTTTTCTGAAGCAGCTCGGAACCGTCTGAGGGATTAGAACCCGTTCTGACCCAAACACACCTGCTGACTTTAAACGGGTTTCAGCTGCCGGTCCGGTCCGATCAGCCTTCCCTTTCTGTTCGTCTCAGTCTAATCCCTCTGACAGGTTCTGGTTCTGCTTGTGAATGTTAAATCAGTCGGTTCCTGTAAAATAACACAAGACTTCATTAGGGATTGGGTCGGTCCGGTCCGGTCCAAACCGCAGCTCTGTTCATGAAACTGCTGATCTGCTTTTCTAAAGAAACCTCGTCTGTTTCTGCCGCTGCTGAAGTTCTGATCTCACCTGTAGACCCACCTGTTTATATGTTGATATCAGCTGGTACCGATCGACCCAGTCGACCCGTTCTTTTTGTATATTACCTGTTCGGTCTCTCTCTGGTTCCGTGGAAATGTTTAATGCTCTGTTAGCCGTAGGGTGTTTCTGAGTTCTGTGATATGCTGACCGGACCAAACCAGACTACATTACTGACTCTGTATCAGTCATCAACAAACAAGAGGACTTCCACATCTGGTCCAGATCTGGTCTACATCTGGTCCACATCTGATCTACATCTGGTCCAGATCTGATCTACATCTGGTCCACATCTGGTCCACATCTGATCTACATCTCGTCCACATCTGATCTACATCTGGTCCACATCTGATCTACATCTGGTCCAGATCTGATCCACATCTGGTCCAGATCTGATCTACATCTGGTCCACATCTGATCTACATCTGGTCCAGATCTGATCTACATCTGGTCCACATCTGATCTACATCTGGTCCACATCTGATCTACATCTGGTCCACATCTGATCTACATCTGGTCCACATCTGATCTACATCTGGTCCACATCTGATCCACATCTGGTCCACATCTGGTCCGCATGACGGGACTCAAACTCCTGGCATGTCTCTGAATCCAAACTGATTTAAATCTAGAACATTCCTGATCAGATTTCTGGAGAACACCGTCGCTGTAGCATTTTTGTTTTCAGAACCCGATTCCGGATCAGAGTTCTCTGGTTTTAGTCTGGTTGGCAGCTTTCAGAACCGCTGGAAATGTCCAGGTTCTACATTCTAGAATCTAACCCGTTTGATCTTCTTCGGTTCTTGTGGATTCTTCTAGAACCCATCTGGTCTGGAACTGATGGGAAACATTTGGTTTCAGTTCTAAACCGGATCTTCCTTCCTAAAATGTGGATCTCAGAGTACTAGCACACAGGAATCTGGAATGTTCTCGTTCGGAAAAGTGATTCCGGTCAGAAACGTTAAACATGGAAACAAAACCCTCTGGTTCTGGTTCTGGTTCTGGTCCGTCACCATGTTTTCATACAGTGTTATTTTCATAGGTTTTATACGATGTGCTGGTCTGTGGTTAAACCAGAACATCTGGGTTCCTCGGCCGGGTTCTACAGTGTTGTGGTTAAACTCTCTTCTCCTTTAAGTTTTATTAGAAGTTTATGTTCATCGTAGGCGAGTTCTGGTTCTGTCCCGCAGCTTTAAACCCATTGTGTATCTAGAACTCCTCCTTCATGCTGGGATCATCTGTGATGTTCTCCATCTTATCCTCATCCAGATGTTTTTGTTTTAAAAGATAAAAATGAAAATCAAGATCTGTTTTTATCAGTGTGGGGATTCTTTGGAGTTCTAAAACACATCTGGATTAGATCAGTTCTATCCATGCCGTCCATGGAGTGCTCATCCGTTGTTAATCCCAAACAGAAACGTTCTGGAATCTCTGACTTCCTGTTTTGTTTCCTGCTTTTCTAGAATCCTTAGCTTCCTATTGGCTGGTGTTTCTGTATCAAAATGCTTTTTTATTTTGAATAAAATTTCACAAACATAATTCCTGTTGTAGCATTTATATGTAATTTTAAATTAAAACCAATCTAATCCGCTCTAATCCCATCTTCCTGCTGTGGGCGAATTCTGTTTCGGTTTGATGTTTAAATGCATGAAGAAAATAATTTTCTGATTCTAGAGTTGGTTTCCAGGCATTTGTGGTGAAAATGTCTCGGACGCGCTTCAGGTAACGTCTAAATAAATCCCTCGTCTGCTCCGGAAGGAACGCTCCGACTCCGGAACTCGTCTGCGCTTCCGTTTTGGGAATGATCGGAGCTGATTTGGTGTGTTTGTGCACGCAAATGGATGCTTGTTGCATGTTTGTTCACTACGGTTTTGCTTTGTTTATTGTGTTACTGATGAGGAAACTGTTTCCATGACGACCAGAACCAGAATTTTAACCAGTAAACTTGTATGATTTTGCAGAGATGATACGTGTGGGTTCATTTTGTTTGGGGGGGGGGGGGGGGGGGGGGGGGTTGATGTTGTACAGCAGCTCATGCTATTTACAGAAATAAACGGTTTGTTTTTTCATGCACTCATCGCTCAACTTTTTCTTCCAAAAATAATCCCGAAGCTGTTCAGATTATTTTAATCTGTAACTGATGAAGCTCGACGATTTTACCGGAAATACTGAAACAAACTTCTACAAGGAAAGCTTCAGCTAGTAGTGAAGACCTGAACTTTGACCTTTCACTCTTAAAATGGGGCGGCGGTGGCACAGGAGTTAAGTGCTCGCCCCGTAATCGGAAGGTTGCAGGTTCGAGCCCCGCTCACTCTGTCGTTGTGTCCTTGGGCAAGTTAATTAACCCACGTTGCCTGCTGGTGGTGGTCGGAGGGACCGGTGGCGCCAGTGCTCGGCAGCCTCGCCTCTGTCAGTGCGCCCCAGGGCAGCTGTGGCTACATCGTAGCTCATCACCATCAGTGTGTGAATGACTGTGTTGTAAAGCGCCTTGGGGGGTTCCAGGACTCTAGAAGGCGCTATGTCAAATACAGGCTATTTACCATTTAACAGTGTTAGATTAGGAGAGGAGTGGAAGCAGTCAATTATTTTCAAATATATTCAGAATTCAGGCACGAGTACTCTCATCCGTACAGTTACTACATTTATGAAGAGCAGCGTTAATGTTGTACACATCTAGTTTTCTATGTGTCATTTCTTCACTAATAAAGTATTCTGATTTATCCTCGAAACAGACCATAATAATACAAACGTGTTAAAAGAGACTAGTGAGTGTTTGCAAAACAGTTAACTCGTTCCCTTTATTTGAATCTTTGAATCTCAGATTGCTTATTAAAAAGGGCTCAATGGTTCTGGCCACTGGTTTAATTATAAATGCAGATAAAAGGTTTCTGGAAGGATCGTCATCAGAAACGAAGTCAGCTGTAAAATCGTACAAGTGTATGTTTAATAGTAACACAAAGTACATATGTGAGTCACTGATTTGACATTAACCCACTGGGTTTATTTCAACTCGCTGTTTTAACTTGCTGCTAAACTTTTAACCTGGTTCCCAACATCTGGCTCCTGTGACTGGATTTTCTAGGTAACATTAGTAGCTCTAAATCAAAGATTCGCTTTGTTTTGAACATGTGAAAGAACCTTTTAAATAAAAATGTAAGAATTAAGTCGTTATTCTGCTACAGTTTCCCTCTGCACCACTAGATGTCGCTACAGTCCAACACCCGCGGCTCTCCCATAATGCATCGCTCTGAGTGAATTCAACATCTGCATGAATCTATGCGTTTTAAAACATTTCATACTCGCGACACACAAAATGTTCTCACCAACAAGCGGAATTTACGGTTCGTTGTTTCCTCCTGAGGGAAAAGAAGGAGAAACAACAGAAATGTTCTGACACCAAGAGTCAAAAGGCTGTAGAGGAGCCATAGAAAACCCCCCGCGCTGTAGCTTCGCCGATCCTTTCGGTTCATTCATGTGATGATTGGTGCGTTCACGGTGACTCCGTGAAAGGTGCTGCCCCTTATCTTGTTACGCCAAGCGCCTCAGCCTGTCTGATCTGCAACCGAAGGACATTCAGTGAAACTATTAAAATGTGAAAAACCAAAGTCACATGAGCATTCTTGACTGTGAGCATTTTGTAATCACATTTGTGTTAGCCACGTGCCGCCATTGAATTTTCATCTGAAGTATTGGAATTGAGTTATAACGGTACACAACTACATTTATAATAGTGATGGGAATTCCGACTCTTTTTAGAGAGCCGGTTCTTTTGGCTCAGCTCACCAAAAAGAGCCGGCTCTTTGGCCTCCCAAGTGGCTCCTCAGATTTTCTGTTGCGTAGAGTACATTTATAATCAAAATAATGCAAAACTATATGTAAAATGATTTACTAATGTAAAAAATGCAATATATTAAATATTTATCATTTATATGGATTTAATAACTGAACACTAAGAAATCTCCACTTTCCGACTGCTGGCCTGGCGCTCATTTTTTCACCGTCTTCGTCGCACTCTCCTCCCTCTCGCTCGCCTTTTTCCTCCTCTTTCCCTCTCGTCTCACTCCACCCGCATGTGCTCTGCTGTGTGTCTGAGTCTGATCCTCCTTCTTCCCCACCCCTACTGCTCTGTGTGTGGACAGTCGGGACACGCTGTTACACATGCTGACCAATCGCCTGTAGCTTTCACCAAAGCAAAGCCGGCTCCCGTCGTTCACTTCAAAGAGCCGGCTCTTAGATCCGGTTCGGTCGCTACCGACACATCACTAATTTATAAATGTGTCAAATTATGTAAAATCTAATCTCAAATATTACGAAATATTTTTCATTTTTCTTCTAAAAGGTAATGATGGGAATTTCGGCTCTTTTTAGAGAGCCGGTTCTTTTGGCTCAGCTCAGCAAAAAGAGCCGACTCTTTCTGCTCCCAAGTGGCTCCTCAGATTTTCTGTTGCGTAGAGTACATTTATAACCAAAATAATGCAAAACTATATGTAAAATGATTTACTAATGTAAAAAATGCAATATATCAAACATTTATCAGTTCTATGGATTTAATAACTGATCACTTTGAGAAATCTCCACTTTCCGACTGCTGGCGCTCATTTTCTCACCGTCTTCGTCGCACTCTCCTCTCTCGCTCTCCTTTTTCCTCCTCCTCATTCCCTCTCGTCTCCCTCCACCCGCATGTGCTCTGCTGTGTGTCTGAGTCTGATCCTCCCTCTTCCCCGCCCCTACTGCTCTGTGTGTGGACAGTCTGGACATGCAGTTACACATGTTGACCAATCACTTGTAGCTTTCACCAAAGCAAGAGGGGAGGGAGGAGGGGAGGGGACGGCTCCCAATGACGAGCCGGCTCCCGTCGTTCATTTCAAAGAGCCGGCTCTTAGAGCCGGTTCGTTCGAGACCGACGCATCACTACTAAAAGGTGCTTAATAATATTAAACCTTCTTTTAGAGGTAATTTCCCCCAAATAAATAACATGGAGGTGGTTTTATTTCATTCTTCCAGATTTTATTACATCATTTTCTCCATTTTCACAAAGTCAGCTGTGATTCCATAATAGTGTTTTTCCAATGGCTGATTTATTTCATAATGTCACTTTTCAGCAGAATGCCTTTATCTTTCAAACAAGACACACAAGATGGCGCCAATTTGTGATTGGCTGCCCATTCAGTCAGACAAAAGCAATCACACATAAAGGTCCAACTTAACTTTAGGGCAGGAGATACAAAAACTGGGATCCTCATCTGTTTCTCAGACAAGCTGGTTCCCAAAAGATTCCTGACAGTGTTTAATGTGAGAAGCAAGCTGACCTAACCCTGGAGAGTCTCTAACTTGGTGTGACCTTTGACCCAGCTCTCACCCTGGATTCTGATGTCAATTCTCTTGTTTGCTCTTCCTTCTTCCATCGCAAGAACATTGCTAACCACCCATTCTGTCTCGATCTGAACTTTAGATATTTATCCACACCTTCATCTCCTCACGCTTACTTTACTGCAACTCACTTTTCACGTGTCTAATCAAATACTCCCTGAACCATCTGCAGGACAAATGGTTCAGAACGCCTGTGCTCGGCTTCTGACCAAATTATCACAGTACACCCACATCACCCCGCTTCTCCTCCAGCTTCACTGGCTGTCTATCAACTTCTGAGTTCATTTCAAGATCCTGGTTCTAGTCTTTAGGGCCTTACATGGACAAGCACCATCATGCATTGGGGATTTTTACAGTCCCTACACCCCCTGCAGGTCCATGAGGTCCAGTGATCAAAGCCTACTGGTTGTGCAGCAACAGGCTAAAGACCAAAGGTGACAGATCTCTCCCCCTGAGCCTGAGATCAGTGGACTCAGTGGTTTCCTTCAAAAACAGCTGAAAACTCACTTGTTCAGGCAGTTTTTTGTTGTGACTTCCTGTTCATCCTCTTCTTCATCACTAGCAGTTCTACCAATTTAGTCTTTTTCAGGATCCTGTTATTACCTTTTCTTTTCTTCACATTTTTAATGTAAGTTTTTCCCTTTCCCTTAATTTTTAAATATATTACACACACACACACACACACACACACACACACACACACACACACACACACACACACACACACACAGGAAATGATGAAGTATCGCGATGCTTCACAACAGTGACTCTGGCCTGAACGAGATTTCCCCTTAAACATGGCGTCTCTCTGCTCGTACATGAGGCTCTGCAGACCTGACAAACTTTAAAAGTTAAATATCAGCATAAATTATTGGTTATTAGGCGGGAAAAACTGCGGACTCTGTGGAGAAACTATAAGAAGCTCCAAGAAAAACTAAAAATGCAACACGACGACGTGAGTGTGTCAAACTTCTTTTTAGCTAGTAGCTAGCTAACATGCTACGGTTAGCTTACCGGTATCCGTCCTAAACGGAGGTTTTAATCAGCCAGCCTTTTACTGATCTAGTTATATACCACGTGACTTTCTTACCCTTAAATTGTGTAAGAAAGGTAACCTGAACGTTGTTCACAACGTCTTCTTTACTAACAAGTCACTTAAAAGTAGTATTTCGCTGCCTTTTAAAAGCTCGTTGGTGTTTTATCCTGATCCAGGCCTCATCTCTTCCTGTTTGCAGCCAGACATCAACACTTTTACAGTGAAGGCTTTTTTCTATGCTGATTTCTGACTCATTTCTGCTCTTGATACCAGAACAATTTTAGGGAATGTTTTGATTTTTTTTTTTTGTGGTTACTACCGATGGTTTAGGATTTATAATAATAACAATACAAGAAATAAATATAAACATGTTTTGAGAACATAATAACTTAATTTCCCTCTGGGATTAAAAAAGTATTTTTAATTTTGAATAACAGAAAATCTGCTTTCTGCAGGTCATCTGGGACATTATTGGAAACAAACAGTTCTGCTCCTTCAAAGTAAAGTAAGTTTGATTTTTTTTCTCTGATGTATTAAACTCCGCCCAAAACTGTTAGAAACTGAAACTGTCAGATTTCTTCTGAAGCAACTTGTTCATAAAAGTGTCTCTGTGGTTCTGTTTGGACGTTTTCTGTCCAGAACAAAGAGTCAGAACTTCTGCAGGAATGAGTATAGCATCACCGGGGTGTGTAACCGCTCGTCGTGCCCACTGGCCAACAGTCAGTACGCCACCATCAGGGAGGAGAAAGGTGAAGCTTCTTCATCATCGGGATAACAGGTCTGATAAACGGACCTCAGCTGTTTTAACTCGCTGGTTTTGTTTCAGGTCAGTGTTTCCTCTACATGAAGGAGATCGAGAGAGCGGCTTTTCCGGCTCGGATGTGGGAGAAGGTGAGGAAAGCAAAGAATCGGAGGTTCCTAGCAGGTTTCTACAGGTCCATTTGCACCTGAGTAGTCAAACTTTTCTAAAGCTTTTACACTCTTTAATTTTCTTTTCAAACAAAAATAGATCCATCAATAAAATGCTCAAGTGACTAAAATTTGTTTTGTCAGATGGGCGGATTCAGAATGGTTCTTTTTCAGATCTTATGATTCATTTTAGACCTTTTAACACAAAAATTTCTATTAATTTGCTGTTCAAAATAATGTTGGTTTTTTTATATGGGAGGTCTGATCCCAGAGAGCCTGGTGAAATAAAATGCTTGTGTGTGTGTGTGTGTGTGTGTGTGTGTGTGTGTGTGTGTGTGTTTAGGTGAAGCTGAGTAAGAACTATGAGAAAGCTCTGGAGCAAATCGACGAGAACTTGATCTACTGGCCTCGATTCCTGCGACACAAATGCAAACAGCGCTTCACTAAAATCACCCAGTACCTAATCCGGATGCGTAAACTGGTTCTGAAGAGACAGTGAGTCCTGCAAACCCGAGTCATAATGATCATGTGACTCTGAGCTGGTGGATCTTCATCTGTGTGTGTTTTTGTTTCAGGAGGAAGTTGGTTCCTCTGAGCAGGAAGGTGGAGAGCAGAGAGAAAAGGAAAGAGGTGAGATCAGATTTATCATTTGACCCAGGTTGGACAGTCCTGGTTTAAAACAACCAGAACCAGTAACCGGGTTTTGACTGATGGCTGGTTGTTTGCAGGAGAAAGCTCTGATCGCCGCTCAGTTGGACAACGCCATCGAGAAGGAGCTGCTGGAGAGACTGAAGCAGGGAACGGTACGACTCCTGGAACTGCAGCGTCATCTCGGCTTTCAGTTCCACTCGTGTAACGTGTTCATCTGATCTGCTTTCAGTACGGAGACATCTACAACTTCCCCGTTTACGCCTTCGACAAAGCTCTAGAGCAGCAGGATGCCGAGAGCGAGTCAGACGCTGAAGAGGAGGAGGAGGAGGATGATGAGGTGATGGGAGGAAGCTTTTACAAGAGTCTATGTTTAATGATAGAAAAGGTATTTTATTCTGAAAGGGTTTTCCCTTTTGTGCAGGATGTCGGGCAGAGGGAGTTTGTAGCGGAGGATGAAGTGGAGGAGAGCGATCTGAGTGACTTTGAGGTAAATGAGGAAAAATTAGGATTGAGGATAATCCATATGACGTCAGTGTTTACGTTAAACAGCTGATCTCTTTAGTCTGAGACTGCTGCTTCCAAGTAATTCCAGTTTTTTCTGACAGGACATGAATAAGCTGAAGACGAGCAGCGATGAAGAGGAGCAGGACGAGTCCAGTGAGGAGGAGGAGGAGGCGCAGGCCTCCAGGTCTAAGGGCAAATCTCCAGCTAACGGCTCGTTGGTGAGGAAGAAACGGGCATATGTGGAGATAGAGTACGAACAGGAGACAGAATCCGCCTCCAGGAGAAGAACTACGTAGTGATGCCCCACCCCAGTGTGCAATTTGAACTAACTCCGCCCCCTTGTGTTACCATGACAACACTGATGTAACAGCTGTTGGTCGAGCCTGGCTGCAGCGTCTGGTTTTGGCTGAAGGGAGGTTTAGATCTGTGACCCCATGTGGGTTTCTGTAAGATCCGACCTGGAATCAGCTCCAAATGGACCAGAACACGTGGACTCTTGTTTTACCAGGTAAAACCGTAAATAAATGGATCTGACCTGTAAATGTGTCCAATCTACTTATAAAAATTACTTTAGCATTTTCTTAACACAATAAAAAGAATCTTAAAGTAAAACTGAAGTGGAACTCAGAATACGGTTAATAATCATCAATCCAAAACAAGGTGAGCTTATATAGTATTTATAACTTTATTTACAAACAACTGAATCCCGTATCGAGTTACAGCAGAAGAAAGTCACAATTTCATCATAAATATTCAAAGAATCATGAGAAGCTCGTTTTATAGCAGAAAAAAAAACGGGAGCGTTGCGGCCAGGCGAGGGTCATTTTAGGCTCCGCCCCCTGCTGGCAGCATTAGTGTAGTTAATACTTTAGTTAATTGCGTGCTTTGGTGAGCGAAGCTTTAAGGCGACAGATCCAACAGAACTTTTCGCTTTTATTTTGGGAATCAGTAACTTTCTGTCTTTGGTCCCAAAAACTTTCAGAATAAAATCTTAAAATGATCAAAATGTGATTTTTGTAGAATGCAGAGAAGATGCTTTTACAGAGAGAGAGAGTGTGTGTGTGTGTGTGGGGGGGGGGGGGGGGGGGGGGGGGGGGGGGGTCTTTTACAAATCATGTTCAAGAAAACTGTCCACCAATCAGCAGACAGACAACAGAGCCACGCTGGTTCTGGGTCCTGCTTCGGGTTTTCACAGGATCTGGTCTCAGCGGGACCAGAATCTACAGGGGGTGGTCAGAAAATCACCCCAAATCCACTCAGATTATTTAATCCAGATCATCAACCGAGTACCAGAGGTAAGAAACGCCACAGGAGTTGTGCTGGGTCGACCCGAATCGGAACGGGTTAACCTTTAACCGATGGTAACTAAACAAACTAGCTCTAAACCCATGATTGTAACAGCTGGATCACTTCACACATTTATTATCCAAACCTTTCCTGGCAATAATAAATAAACCGATCATAAAATCTACAAACTTTGAATATTCTTTATTAAAGATCATATTTTTCACGTCTGGGACCCAGAAACAAACACCCGTTGATCCAGGTGTTTGAAATCATTACGAGTTCATTTCTGATGCCCTGATGAGATCTGCTGAGCGGGTTTTAAACGTAAACGGTGCCGTTCGGGGCATCTGAGGTCACATGATTAGACCTTTAACTAGATTACGGGATGATTGACAGGTGGTCAAACTACCTCTGGAGTTTCTATTTACCGTCAGGGGTCAAAGGTGAACCAGACTAAAAACAGGAAGTAAATGAAGCCGGATGTTTGACTGCGGCAGAAACCACGGCCGGCCACCAGGGGGAGCTGTGGGATCCTGGACTTCTGACTGAGAACCGGGCCTGAGACCAGAACACCACCAGAGGCTGAGTAGAACCAAACCGGATCATTTGTAAAACTCTGAGCTGAGTAACCAGCTGATTTGGGTCAGAACCAAACAGAACTCCACTGCACCAGAACCCAGTTACTCAGGCCCGGTTCTGGTAGATCTAACACTTTTGGATTTGAGACACAAAGGGTTTTCAAAGCTTCAGATTACAGATAAAGGTCAGAACCAAGTTCTGGAATGACTTGGGGTTTATGACAGAGGTCCATTTGGAGGCATCAGATCTGAACCCAGGAGGTTCTAGCCAGAACCACGGGTCAGAACCTATTTCAGAACATCCAAAGTTTAAATTCTGGACTTCTGTGACACTTAAGAGTTTTAAACCTGGAGTACCTCAGTCTGGACCGGGTCATCATTTGGACCAGGTGGTCCAAGTTCAGCTCCGGTTCTGAATGAGTCCACCACGGTGCCAAATATTAGTGATTCTGGCCCACAGGTCAGTTCTGGTGGATGACCTGGAGCTGCTTGGTGAGCCTGATGTGGACCTCTCTGACCCGGTTCTGGGACTTTTGACTGTTTTAATCGCCTGGCCCGGTTGAGGTCTGGGTCTGGTCCAGTTTCAGTTCTCACATGGTTCTGACATTAGTGGAGATTGGTGGTTCTGATGGAGTTGGACCAACAGAAGTTCAGACCTGGAGGAAGCAGGTTGGTTCTGAGCTTGCGGGCCAGGTAAGGACTAAGTTCTGACCCAGAAGTGGATTTATCATGTTTACGTTTAATTTGGAGAAAAGCCAAACCAGTCCGGGTCAAAGTGGATCAGAACCAGCAACCACAGACCTGAACAGGTGACGGGCCAAGAGGAGGAACCAGGCGGGTTTAGCGGATTCTTGGCTCGGGTTCAGAACTGATGAGTGGATTAGAGGGAGAGAATCTGGACCGAACCGGTCCGTGTTTGTCCATCTGTCGACCCGTTTGGTGGTTCTGAGGTTAGCAGCTGCAGCCTTCTTTAGCCGGCTGGCTGTCGGCGTTCAGACGGCCGCCCTGCGGCGCCGACGGTTTGTGCTGGACTCCCGACTCTGCAGCGTTGAGGTCCAGACTCCCGTCCTGGATGTTCTGGTAGATCTTCTTTGCTGCTTCCAGGAAGGCCTCCTCCACGTTCTCACCTCTGAGGAGCAAAAAGAACATCGTTAACATCAGAACCCGGTCCCCCCGGGCCCGCCTGGACATGGAGATACTTACGTCTTGGCGCTAGCTTCTAGAAACAGCAGACCTGAGCAGAAACAGGAAGCAAAGATTTGATGACTCAGCAGAAACCTGATATCTGGGTAAAGGTTCTGCGGGTCAAACCCAAATCTCACCGTTCTCCTCAGCAAACTGTTTGGCCTCCTCGTATGTCACGTCCCTCTGGGCCTCCAGGTCTGCCTTGTTCCCGATCAGAATGATCACCTGGAACCAGAGGTGTTGTCACACAAATACTTGTCTCTGATTGGATGATCAGAATCCAACAGGTGACCAACAGGTGAGGGACTCAGTCACATCTGTGTTTTGATTATCAGATATGAGCAGATCACTTAAGCATGCAGTCTCCATGGTGACCAGACACGACCAGATCCACCTGCTTTAGTTCTAAAGAACAGGGCATTTTATTTAGCCCCTCCCACTTTTAATCCATCGCTCCTGATCATTTTGTAGGATTTGACGCAACAGGTGAGTGCTGCTTCTGAGCCAATCAGATTTAAAATACCCGAGTTCCCCATCATCATCTGAACTGCTTCCTCACTGGGTCTCAGGGAGCTGGTGTCCGTGTCCTTCACCTGGACATGTCCCCTGTCCTGACACGGGTCCACAAAGAAGCCCTTTTTACAACACACACCATGCCGGCAAATCGGCGTGATGTTACCGCAATGGTGTGTCTACAAACGCGCCGTGCCGGCATGGCGTTGCATGAATTTTGCGGCATTCGTTCCGCCTCGCTCGGTAGTGATATTGCGGTAATGGTCTGTCGTATGCGCCCTGGTGCAACAGAGGCAGATGTCCTGATGACGTGGGAAGGTATCGCTGAGCTCCGGCTGGCAAATTCATTGAAATTGAAAGTAAACACGGGCAATAAGGTTTGATTTTGAACTAAATCAGATGAGATGGCAAACTGGAGCGCCGCAGCGCTCCACGAGCCTCTCTGCTAGAGCTGAAGCTCAGATCACCAGAGACTGCACAGGGACTGATGGGGACAGACACCTTTAGGAGCTGCTTGGTAAAAACGTAACGATCACGACTTCAATCGCAATAAAAAGCAAGTTATGTCCAAGATAAACGGAAGTCTGCGGCAGCGCAGAGACCGCTCCCGTGCCCCCTTTAGCCGCGGCAAATCCCGTTTAGCAAACACTCTGGTGCCGTAAAAACAGCTAAATACAAACTGAGGAGGGATCTCCAAGCTCACCGTGTTGGGGTTGGTCAGGTTCCTGGCGTCCGTCAGCCAGCTGCTCAGGTGGTTGTAGGTACTCCTCCTGAACACGGGAAAGGTTTATTCAGAAAGTTAAACAGAAGGTGAGAAAACAGAACCTGACAAAAGTTAGAAATAAACGGGCACTAGGGTTGTGACGGTGTGAAGATTTAACCTCACGGTTATTGTGACTGAAATTATCACGGTTTTCGGTATTATCGCGGTATTTTTTTTAAAGTGTTACATTTTCAGACAACTACATAAACCCTGTATATCAGGAAAATACTGTCCTCAGTTTGTGTCTAAATTTAGCCTAAAATGTGTTATTTTGTAATTATGTTGTTTATTTGTTTACATTTTCCCCTTTAGCCTTTAAAATACCAACATTTGCCCATAACTTCTTATTTTTTGTCTGTTTGATGTCATCATTTAAAAATATTAGATCAGATGATACTCAGTACTCAAGTAGCCTTCTAATCAGATACTTTTTTACCCTTACTTGAGTAATAAACCCTATATCAGGAAAGTATTGTCCTCGGTTTGTGTCCTTCCAGTGAGCTTTGCAGATGTGGGAAAATGTCATCAGGCAGTAATCGTTGTTAAATTCATAATTATTCTCGGAGAGAGACCAACTCTTATCTGCCCCTGGGAGCCCCGTAATGCACAACGTCATTTCAGCATGGCGGTGTCCGCGACACGGTTTATATGCAGGTAGCGGCGCTGCGGCTGCTTTATATAGCGACTCGTTGCATTCTCCCTCAACCCAAATCCTCGGATCACGCATTTTAGCTAAAACGCTAACGTTAGCTTGCCTTGCGTTGACTGTAGAGTTGTGGGTGATGGTCACGCAGATGTGTCATGAGATTTGAAGCGTTGCTGCCTTTCCAGGGTATCTGCAGGTTTAAGGGAGCCAAATTTAAGACCTTTTTTAAGGCCACTTAGACCAAATTTAAGCTATTTTTATAATTAAATTTAAGCTTTATTTTCCAGCTATTGCCCGGAACCGGTGCTAACCACGTCGCAAACATGGGATTAGTCATCCAGTTACCATTAAACTCTCACTTCCCCATGGCGCAAGCTCCCACTAGTTTAACCAGCTAATGTGCTCATCTAAAAATAGCCCCCCTTCACAACCAACTGAATGTGTACGGTTCCGCTTACGCCAACATCGTACACAAAAAATGCTCAACACTAACTAGAAATTCATGAAAATTTTATAGAAATAAAAGAATCTTGTTTATTGGGTCTTTGAAAATTTAAGACCTTTGGAAACTGTATTTAAGAATTATTTGTAATTTTTAAGGGTTTTTAAGGCCTTAAATTTGGAAAAGCTAATTTAAGACTTTTTAAGGACCTGCAGATACCCTGCTTTCACACACACTTTTTCTGCACGTGCTGCAAACAGGATAGCCGTCGTCTATCAACTGTCCCTCGGCATTCTTCAAATATCCAAAAGATGCCCGTACTTCCCACTTTGTCTTCTTTGAGGGATAATAAACGTCCTGAGCGCTGCCGTCTCCTCCTTTAGCCATTATTTCAGCTTTAGCTTCAAGAACGTTTTGGTTGTAAACAACAAAGTGCGCATGTGCCGCCGGCAACTTCATCAGATGATACGGTGGCTGGTAAGGGTCACCGCGCCTACACCGCAGCCACGGTAACCCACCGAGATAATATATGTTTTAAAAAACAAGACGGTTATTGTTGTCAACTTTTATACCGGGGTTTACCGCTACACTGGTTACCGTGACAACCCTAACAGGCACATTCCAAACTTGGTTCCAATCATATCAAGAAGACAGGGGTCATGTTGTTTCTATTGGCGATCACAAATCAAGCTGATCACCATGACATGTGGGATCCCCCAAGGCTCAGTTCTTGGACCACTGCTCTACACGCTCCCCTGGGTCAGGTCATACACAATAACATTACCTATTATAACTGGACATGAGATAGCAGGTCTCATGTCCAGACAAGACCTAGAGACACTCATTCATGTGTTCACCTCCAGCAGGCTGGACTACTGCATTGGCGTTTTGTCTCGTCTCCCCAAATAAAGTTGTGAAGCAACTACTGCTTATTCAGAAGGCTGCTGCTAGGGTCCGGTAGTCGATCTCTCTGAACTACGACGCTGATAACTAGACGGTCAGCTTTAACTCCCTGAATAAAATGAGTTCATTTGCGTTTTTTACTCATTGAGAACAAACGATTAGATATAATGTACAGTATTAGTGTTTGTTTTCTGTTCCATCAAATAAGTCATCAAGAACCAACTTTGACCAAGTCTAAAGTTTTATACTCAATTTACTTTAGTTTCTCATTAGTGGACGATTTAATTCACAGAACCTCCCCCGCGTACCTGGTGATGTCGTAGACCATGAGGGCCCCTGCGGCCCCCCTGTAGTAGGACCTGGTGACGGCCCTGAAGCGCTCCTGACCAGCTGTGTCCCAGATCTGTAGCTTCACCTTCTGACTGTGGACCTCCATAATCCTGGTCCCAAACTCCACCCCGATGGTGTGGGGACAGTCCGCCATGACTAGAGAGAGAGAGAGAGAGAGAGAGAGGTGCACACCATTTAAACTTTCAACATGGTAAACAGCCTGTTTACCATGTCGGGTTCTACAACCCCCAAGGTGCTTCACAACGCAAACAGTCTTACACACATACACGCACACACACACGCGCGCGCTGATGGGGATGAGCTATGATGTAGCCACAGCTGAGCTGGAGCGCACTGAGCACTGGTGCCACCAGTCCCTCCGACCGAGCCTGGCCTGCCAGACTCACCCTCTGCCTATTCCACACTGAGGACGAGTCTGGATGCTAGAGCCAGAGGGGCGGGACTAGCCAGATCAAAATAACCAATCAGAAAAACGGCAGACGTGATGACTATCACACAACGCTGTCGTTTTTTTTAGCTGTAGGCGATGATGCAAACAACTTCCTTTAGAGGAGAAGCTTTTAGCACTTCTTGTTGGGGGTTTGAAAGACATGTCATTTAGAACGGAGGAAAGAGCTGCGGCGAACTCCACTTCGGACGCCATCATCGTTGCTTATGAGAAACTGAGCGTTGCGGTGTGACGTACGCTGATCGGCTCGGTTAGAATTCTCAGGGGGCGGGGTTATTTGAATGGGAGCATTCCCAGACCCTTTGCTGCCCATAAGGAAGCATGGGCAGGGCTGGCCAGGCTACCTCTGACCACCATCAGCATAAGAACATTTTAACAGGTTTATTATTTTTTAAAACATCAAATTTCTCTCCAGCTGAAACCAGCAGGAAATTTACTCTGATTACTAAAAGAAAATCTGATTACCTTCTGCCCATCGTCTAACTGATTTACTGACTGAAACCGGATCATCGGTGCATTTAGATCAAACTTGACTGATGACTCACATTTCTTCTCTGTAAACTGATGCAGCAAACACGACTTCCCGACGCCCATATCACCTGAAAACACACAAACACAACACAAACAAGTGAGCTGCTGTTTTCCTTTTCCCACAGAGTTCAGGATGATTTTTTCTAACAGAGCCGGGATCGGCCGGGAGCTGCTGATCAGGCTGACGTTTCCCTCTAGAGCTTGCTGCTCTGGAGCATACAGGTGTGTGCTAACAAGAGGAGAGAAAGCAATAGCAACGACCTTAAGAAGCACGTGTTTCTGACCATCCGTTTGGAAAAGGTCAAAGGTCGTTTCTACACTATTTTTGTTCTTTAGGTTCACCTTGAGGTCAAAGGTCAACTCCCAGAGGAATGACAGAAAACCCTAAAGGTGAGCCTCAGTTAGCAGGTCAAAGGTCACAACAATCAGCTGATCTCAGGAGGAAGGCTCTTGGTTTGGGTTGGTTCTGACCCAACAGAGTCCACCAGAACTCGTCTGGACACCAAAGTATTTCTGAGCCTGATGCGAGATTATCTGTCTGGAACTTGGACCGAGCCGTGTCATAAAGCAGAACCATGATCCAAAACACAGAAGCTGGTGTTGGTGTAGTGGTCCAGTCAGAGATCAGACCGGCACAGGTGGTTGGACCTTCAAAGAGCTGAGCAGAACCGAAACGAACCGGGTCAGAGTTCTTCCAGAACCAGTGATCCTAGCAAGCTGCTTGTTTCCCTGCACCGAGCACGGTTCCGTTTGTTCTGGCGAGTCCTAAGTTTAACGCATTAAACTCGGAACCAGTACCGGAACACTCCGAACCGCGGGAAAACTCACCGATGATGATGTATTTGAAGATGTAGGAGTAGTTGTAAGGAGCGGCTGTCATCGTGACTCTGGAAGGAAAAAAAAAAATAGGGAAACGGTGAGTCCACACCCGGCGCAAGGCTACGGACCGGGTCCGCCTCGCCCCACCGAACCCGAACCGGGGCCCGCTAGGCTGGCCTCAAATTCAGCAATAAAACAGTGTGTGAATGTGTCATTATCAGAAAAGCCGATCAGCTGACTTCCCCCTCTGAGCTAACCGGCTAACGGCTAACAGAAAGAGGCCGCTTTTCTTTAACTTCACACCCAAAAACAACAAATATTCACCCGGGCAGGCGTGTGAGTGAAATTCTGCTCTTTTACCTTCAGTCCGGCAGTGTGTTCAACCTGCGAACCTGATTAAAGTGCTGGATAAGCCGACAGTTAACGCCGTTAGCTGGATAACCTGCTAAGCCGTCAGGAAATAGCTCTCTTTTCCGCGACGCGTCGCCTTCGCTTCTTCTTCTACGAATGTTTAGCGGTAGCCTGCATCCTCCGAGTTATCCTGCTGCCCTCTACTGGACAAACGGTTTTTTTTTTTTACATTCATAGGGACCTTTCACTGACCTGGCAAGCATGAATGCACTACTGTCCGTCTGGACTTCTAGGGTACAGTCCTCAAAACTAAAATCAAATGTCCAAAAACTTTCATATTCTGCTTTTTTATCCACCAAAATCAAAACAACAGAATCACAAAATAATTTATATTTTTCAGCTCTTATTTAGACTTTTTTTTTAAATCAGTAAGATGTGAAGGACATTGGGACATAATAACATCTGGATCTCTCCAACAGCTGGTTCCTCCATCACAACATGAAACGTTTTTATAAAACAAAACAGGATGCATCTCTGAAAGGAAGAGCTGAGACAAACGAGCTGAAAGTGATTTAACTTCAGAGGAAACATAATTTGAATGAGAATCACTGAAATTCTTTGTGTTCTCTGACTTGTTCTAATTAAGTTTTTTCTGTGTTGTTGTTGCTGCTTGTTTTTCACTCTCACACATAATGAGGTGCCGATCCGCCCTCTCCCTCCTCCTCCATGTGCTGAGGTCGGGGGGGGCAGGCCTTGACCGTCAGACCTCAAACCGCTTCCCACAGAGCCGACAGACCCGATTCAGTCGGGAGGAATTCTGTTGGCTGGTTTGGATTCTTCGGCAGAGAAATGAGACTAAAGACGAGTCGCTGAGACGAGAGACATGGACAAACAGAAAGGTACCAGCAGCTCTCACAGTTTTCGATCACTTCAGTCTTAAACTTTGTGCTGATGTCATTTTATTTAGTGACGTAAAATCTAATTTAAAACTTGAAACTCATTTTGCACGAGTGACATTTAAAGCTTTTCTGCCCGTCTGGCTAGAGGAGTAAAAACAGCAGAGATGCATTAAAAAATTAAAATAAAATAAATCAGCCGATGATCGGAATCGGCCATTTTTCTGCTCGATCATCTTAACCTGTGACTAGCTGAGCTCTAACTCAAAAATCATTTTTCCTTTTGTGTTTGTGAACTCACCACCGCTGACATGTTCTTCCTTCAGAATCCTAACTTTCTAATTAATCAGAAAAAAACCTAAAAATATTCATGTTATTAATTCTTTAAGATTATTCAGTATCAGCTGATCAGAGTGAGACAAAAGTCAGAAATCGGCCCCAAACACCAGAACTGGTGCAGAAACTGGTTTGTCTATCGTCATAACCAACAGTTTTGATCCAAAATATTTTTGGGAAAGCTGTTTTGATCTAAGATCTAAGAATAATTGATCATTTTCCTCATTTATTTACTTTAGCAAATTTGACAAATATCAAACATTAAGTCTCAAAAAAGGAGAAAAGGAAAAAAAACAGGAAGTGATTTTCCTTTAAAACGTCGTTTGATTGAACTCGGCACATTTAAATTCATGCTCCTCCGTTCTATGCTGTCATGTTTCATAAAATCAGGAAAAACCAACTCATTTTGTTCAAAAATGCTTTTTTTATTCAATTAACTTTTAAACCAAATGCACTTTTTTCATTGGTTCCAGAAGAGTGGAGCATTAGGTAATAAATAACATCTAATGAAGGTGAACCAGGTATTTCCTGTCAGACCTTCCAGCATGCACAGGATTCTCATGATCCTCCTCGTGGAGCTCCACTGGCTCCTCATGGCTTCCTGACCCACACCCAGATCCTTGATGCTGCCTGCAGACGCTCTGACCGGTCTGGTTCAGGCAGGTCCTGGACCCAGATCCTGACCCTGCAGTTCTTCATCCTGCCTGTAGAGGTCCCTGTCAGGGGTGGAGTCTCAACCCGATGGTCACAACCCATCCTCCTGCTTTTGGGGAGTCTTTATCACAGAACTGGTATGTTAACAATCGGAAACACCCGCATTTGCTCCTTCCTCCTCCTCCTCCTCTTCTTCGTCGTCCCTTCCTCCTCCTTCTGGTCCCAGGAGATGGAGCAGTTTAGATCTATCAGATCTGTTTGTGTCTTCAGGGTGTCTGACCCAAGTATTTCAGCTTTTTTCTCACAGCTTTGTTTCAATCCCACATGGAGCAGATTTAGAGGAACATTGAGTCTGAGGCTGAAAGCAGATGAAAGTGTTAGAAGTTATAGTTCCTCTTTAACAGCTCAGAGACAAACATCAGTGGTGATGTTGGTGATGGGTTACTGGCTCCTCTGGAGGTCATCCTGACTGCTGGCTGGATCTGAGGAAACATCAATCCAGATGTTCTTTCAGTCCTATATTTACCAGCCAGAGGATAAAAAGAGCAGCTCCACACCCTCAAGCACATGTTTGTACTTCATTCTTCATAAGAACCCTCAGAAGCATCGAATCAATCAATCAAAGATACTTTATTAATCCCAGAGGGAATTAGAGTTTCAGTACACACAATTCAGAGATCAGACATACATGGGCACATGACAAGAATTGGTGATTGTGGTCATTCGCAACCCCGAGTCGCGCTACCTTAATAGAGATCAGTGGGTTACATGAGGATTGGTTCAGGTGGAGGGAAAAAAAGGCACTTCAGAGCTACCCTCCACCAGGAGGGCAGCTTTGCTCTGCAAAAAAACACCTCAGACAGATATGCAACAGACTTCAGACAACACAACATAAGTGTCCACTAGGTGGGGTGGTGGTTGGGACTATCTCCACTTCAGTTCCTGCAGCCACGATAAGCAGCGCATGTCACCTCAGTGTGGATAGGGGGAGGAGCATTGAGGGTTGGAGGGTTGCAGTGACCCTGGAACGTTTCAGCGGCCTTCCCGCAGTCCCGCCCAGGCTGGGAAAGGAGACAGAGTTGAGTTGCCATAGCGACGGCACATTCCACATATCTTCTGAGAGGGGAGTTTTTGTTGGAGCCTTGCAGGCTCAAGGACGCCAGATTCAAATTAGAAATTGTTTTGGGGCCAGACAGAGATAATTTCCACTCTGTCTTACAGTTTGTTGGTCCTCAACCTCTCAAAATCCCAATAATGGACATTAATCTATCCCAATCCGTGCTGATTCGTCCACTCTCTCCTTGATGGCATCCATCTTTTGTGCCAAGAATGAATCTCGGCCAAAGTCCCAAACTTACGATTCATCTCGACAATTATGTGAGTCTGTGAATTCACAGTGTGGTGCAAACCATCTCTGAGCTCCGGGATCAGGCCAATATTCCTCGACAGCTTGTTAATTTTCCAGTAAGCCAGGTAGCCTCCAAGGCCAATGAGCAGGAAACCTGACACCAACACCACGGATATCCACACATCTTCAGAGTCCTCCACAGACAGCTGAGAAAGACAGATCAAGTTCCACTGTTTCCAGGAGTCCATGATGTGTCCAACTGGGTCTGTACCGGCAGGACATCCGGGAGCCCCTTCTCCCGTTCCCATCGTTGAAAAAATTTTGCCAATGGCATTGAGTGACCAACTGACGAGATCCATTTTAGTGAATTTCAGTTTCCAGAAAAAATGCAGAAGCAGCCGTGCACCCAGCACACACAAACAAAGACCTTGAGGATAAGATATGGAGGAGAGGAGGAAAATAGTGTCTGCACCCTCCGAGAGCTGGCATGATAACATAACAGGCCTCAAACAAAACCAAATCTGACCCGGACTCCCTCTGAAAAGGTCTGAAACCTCTTCTAGACCTCAAACCTCCTCTAGACCTCTAGACCTCCTCTAGACCTCCAGACCTTCTCTAGACCTCCAGACCTCCTCTAGACCTCCAGATCTCCTCTATACCTCAAACCTCTTCTAGACCTCCAGACCTCCTCTAGACCTCCAGACCTCCTCTAGACCTCCAGATCTCCTCTATACCTCAAACCTCTTCTAGACCTCCAGACCTCCTCTAGACCTCCAGATCTCCTCTATACCTCAAACCTCTTCTAGACCTCCAGACCTCCTCTAGACCTCCAGACCTCCTCTAGACCTCCAGATCTCCTCTATACCTCAAACCTCTTCTAGACCTCAAACCTCCTCTAGACCTCTAGACCTCCTCTAGACCTCCAGACCTTCTCTAGACCTCCAGATCTCCTCTATACCTCAAACCTCTTCTAGACCTCCAGACCTCCTCTAGACCTCCAGACCTCCTCTAGACCTCTAGACCTCCTCTAGACCTCCAGACCTTCTCTAGACCTCCAGACCTCCTCTAGACCTCCAGATCTCCTCTATACCTCAAACCTCTTCTAGACCTCCAGACCTCCTCTAGACCTCCAGACCTCCTCTAGACCTCCAGATCTCCTCTATACCTCAAACCTCTTCTAGACCTCCAGACCTCCTCTAAACCTCCAGACCTTCTCTAGACCTCCAGATCTCCTCTATACCTCAAACCTCTTCTAGACCTCCAGACCTCTTCTAGACCTCAAACCTCCTCTAGACCTCCTCTAGACCTCCAGACCTTCTCTAGACCTCCAGACCTCCTCTAGACCTCCAGATCTCCTCTATACCTCAAACCTCTTCTAGACCTCCAGACCTCCTCTAGACCTCTAGACCTCCTCTAGACCTCCAGATCTCCTCTATACCTCAAACCTCTTCTAGACCTCCAGACCTCCTCTAGACCTCCAGACCTCCTCTAGACCTCCAGATCTCCTCTATACCTCAAACCTCTTCTAGACCTCCAGACCTTCTCTAGACCTCCAGACCTCCTCTAGACCTCCAGATCTCCTCTATACCTCAAACCTCTTCTAGACCTCCAGACCTCCTCTAGACCTCCAGACCTCCTCTAGACCTCCAGATCTCCTCTATACCTCAAACCTCTTCTAGACCTCCAGACCTCCTCTAGACCTCCAGACCTCCTCTAGACCTCCAGATCTCCTCTATACCTCAAACCTCTTCTAGACCTCCAGACCTCCTCTAGACCTCCAGACCTCCTCTAGACCTCAAACCTCCTCTAGTTCTCCAGACCTTCTCTAGTTCTCCAGACCTCCTCTAGACCTTAAACCTCATCTAGACCTCAAACCTCCTCTAGACCTCGAATCTCCTCTAGACCTCAAATCTCCTATAGACTTCAGACCTCTTCTAGACCTCCAGACCTCCTCTAGACCTCACATCTCCTCTAGACCTCCAGACCTCCTCTAGACCTCAAACCTCCTCTAGTTCTCCAGACCTTCTCTAGTTCTCCAGACCTCCTCTAGACCTTAAACCTCCTCTAGACCTCGAATCTCCTATACCTCAAACCTCTTCTAGACCTCCAGACCTCCTCTAGACCTCCAGACCTCCTCTAGACCTCAAACCTCCTCTAGTTCTCCAGATCTTCTCTAGTTCTACAGACCTCCTCTAGACCTTAAACCTCCTCTAGACCTCAAACCTCCTCTAGACCTCGAATCTCCTCTAGACCTTAAATCTCCTCTAGACTTCAGACCTCTTCTAGACCTCCAGACCTCCTCTAGACCTCACATCTCCTCTAGACCTCCAGACCTCCTCTAGACCTCAAACCTCCTCTAGTTCTCCAGACCTTCTCTAGTTCTCCAGACCTCCTCTAGACCTTAAACCTCCTCTAGACCTCAAATCTCCTCTAGACCTCAAATCTCCTCTAGACTTCAGACCTCTTCTAGACCTCCAGACCTCCTCTAGACCTCACATCTCCTCTAGACCTCCAGACCTCCTCTAGACCTCAAATCTCAGAGACCTCAAATCTCATCTAGACTTCCAGACCTTCTCTAGACCTCCAGACCTCCTCTAGACCTTAAACCTCCTCTAGACCTCCAGACCTTCTCTAGACCTCCAGACCTCCTCTAGACCTCCAGACCTCCTCTATACCTCAAATCTCCTCTAGACCTCCAGACCTCAAACCTCCTCTAGACCTTCTCTAGACTTCAAATCTCCGAGACCTCAAATCTCCTCTAGGCTTCAGACCTCCTCTAGACCTTAAACCTCCTCTAGACCTCAAATCTCCTCAAGACCTCCTCTAGACCCCAAACCTCCTCTAGACCTCCAGACCTCCTCTAGACCTCAAATCTCCTCTAGACCTGAAATCTCCTCTAGACTTCCAGACCTTCTCTAGACCTTAAAACTCCTCTAGACCTCAAACCTCCTCTAGACCTCCAGACCTCAAATCTCCTCAAGACCTCCTCTAGACCCCAAACCTCCTCTAGACCTCCAGACCTCCTCTAGACCTCAAATCTCCTCTAGACCTGAAATCTCCTCTAGACTTCCAGACCTTCTCTAGACCTTAAACCTCCTCTAGACCTCAAACCTCCTCTAGATCAAGAAACAGTCATCTGAAGACTTATTTAATGCAATGTGTCTCCAAATTGCCTATAAAAAACAGCTGTAAATGCACACACACACACACACACACACACACACACACACACACACACACACACACACACACACACACACACACACACACACACACACACACACACACACACACACACACACACCTGGCCAATTTCAGGGTTTGGGTTTTCATGGTAAATAAACTTAAATCACTTTTCCTGAACTTTTCTTCTTGACTGAATTACAGGAGCAGCTCAGACCGTTTATCTCGGTTGCCATGGTTACTTTGATTTCTGGTCGCTACAAGCCACAGAGTAAAAAGATCAAACAGCAACTTGTCAGGGGAGCAGAAAAATCCCTGAAGGGCTTCACTGCTTTGTTGTTTCTGCTGCAAATGTAAAATCAGTTTAGTTTGAACCAACTTTAGGGTTTCGTCATCTCATGATTTATTATAATAATAATAATAATAATAATAATAATAATAATTATTATTATTATTATTATATTTTTAAATTATCCATCCATCCATTTTCATCCACTTATCCGGAGTCGGGTCGCGGGGGCAGTACCCTAAGGCGAGAGGCCCAGACTTCCCTCTCCCCAGCCACTTGGGCCAGCTCCTCTGGGGGAATCCTAAGGTGTTCCCTGG